TAATAACTTTAAGAACTTGAAGTATATGAAAAAATAAGAACCCTGTTTTTGCAATTCCTATGATGCAATTGGAGCTTATAGACAGAAAAGAATAAATTTGGATAGTCCTTTTTGGCTCCGGTGGCAAATACATTAATGCATTATGTCTTCAAGAGAAGTTCCTATCGAAGTTCACTATGAATCTTTTGGTACCTATTATGAGATATATGGGGATTATTTAGTAATAAGAAGTATAAAAAAAGAAATTCGTTGTATATACATTCAAACCACTATTGGTCATATTTCTTTTTATCGAGAAATCGAAGAAGCTATACAAGGTTTTTCTCGAGCCGATTCATCATATACTATCTAATCATATAGATGGTTAATGCTGGTATCCACGCTAAGTAAATTTAGGATACTGGTGTAAATTCAGGTCAACTAGCATCTTTTCAATTTTCTATGTAAATAAACATAAAGAAAAGGGAGTTTTCCAATCATCCACTCAAATCTATTATCGTCGAACCGAATACCACTGAGTGGAATATGGAGGGACTTATGGCAGAAGGGACCAATCTAGTCTTTCACAATAACGTGATAGGTGGAGCTGCCATTAAATGACTTATTAGCAGATTAATAGATCATTTCGGAATGGCATATACACCACACATCTTGGATCAAGTAAAGACTCTATGATTCCATCAAGCTACTGCTACATCTATTTCATTAGGAATTGATGATCTTTTAACAATACCTTCTAAAGGATGGCTAGTCCAAGATGCTGAACAACAAAGTTCCGTTTTGGAAAAACATAATCATTATGGGAATGTCCATGCGGTAGAGAAATTACGCCAATCCATTGAAATATGGTATGCTACAAGCGAATATTTGCGACAACAAATGACTCCCAATTTTAGGATGACTGACCCCTTTAATCCAGTACATATAATGTCTTTTTCAGGAGCTAGAGGAAATGCATCTCAAGTACACCAATTAGTCGGAATGAGAGGATTAATGTCAGATCCACAAGGACAAATGATTGATTTACCCATTCAAAGAAATTTTCGTGAAGGACTGTCTTTAACAGAATATATAATTTCTTGCTACGGAGCCCGTAAAGGGGTTGTAGATACTGCTGTACGAACATCAGATGCTGGATATCTTACACGTCGACTTGTTGAAGTGGTTCAACACATTGTTGTACGGCGAACAGATTGCGGTACCATCCGTGGGATTTATGTAAACACTCGAAATGGAATGATGCCAGAAAGAATTTTGATACAAACATTAAATGGTCGTGTAGTAGCAGACAATATATATATAGGTTCACGGTGCATTGTGTTAGAAATCAAGATATTGGAATTGGACTTGTCAATCGATTCATAACTTTTCAAACACAACCCATATTTATTCGAACCCCCTTTACATGTAGGAATACGTCGTGGATCTGCCGATTGTGTTATGGGCGGAGTCCTATTCATGGGGACCTAGTAGAATTGGGAGAAGCTGTAGGCATTATTGGTGGTCAATCTATTGGAGAATCGGGAACTCAACTAACATTAAGAACTTTTCATACTGGTGGAGTATTCACAGGGGGTACTGCTGAATATGTGCGAGCCCCCTCGAATGGAAAGATAAAATGGAATGAGGATTTAGTTCACCCTACATGTACACGTCATGGATATCCTGCTTTTATATGTAATATAGACTTGTATGTAACTATAGAAAGTTACGATATTATACATAACGTCATTATTCCACCAAAAAAATTTCTATTAGTTAAAAATGATCAGTATGTAAAATCAGAACAAGTGATTGCGGAGATCCTCGCGGGAACATATACTTTTAATTTGAAAGAGAGGGTCCGAAAACATATTTATTCTGACTCAGAAGGGGAAATGCATTGGAGTACCGATGTGTACCATGCATCCGAATTTATGGATAGTAATGTACATATCTTACCAAAAACAAGTCATTTATGGATATTTTCAGGAAAGTCGTGCAGGTCCACTGATTCTTTCATTTCAGTTAGTAATATAAGAGGTCAATCAATTGTAGAAGCTAAAAAAGAGTATCCTGAGCCATTTTAATAATGGGGTTCATTGACATTCCTAGTATAGTAGATGCTATCACACATAAAATCATACTCACTTCAATGGAATTATTTGATCTTACAGAAGATCTTCTATAATTTCGCACGTGAGGAGTTATTTCTTGGTTTCATCAAGTCATTAATAAATTAATTATTTTTAGATAATAGTAGATCGAAACAAAGCTTTTAAGAAGTCCTATTGAAACCAAGAAATATCGGCCTGCTTGCCATCCACACCAGAATAAAGAAAGTTTTCCGAAAAAACCAGCTAGTGGAGGAAGACCTGCTAAGGATAAGAGACATAGGGCTAAAGAGAGAGCCAAAAAAGGATCTTTCGTGTATAATCCTGCATAATCTAGAATATTATCAGTTCCGGTACGTAGACTAAATAACACAATGCAAGAAAAAGTTCCTAGATTCATGGAGATA